TATATATATATATATATATATATATATATATGGAATGGAAACTTTTATATGAGCTTTATTTTATATTACAAAATATTAAATGTCATAAATGTGCTTTAATCCGCATACAGTAGCCATATCACCTATTCATATTGGTGGGTTTTCTTGCTTGTATCTACTTGTGGTAGTCTCTGTGCCATCCTTGCCCACCAAGTGAAATTCTGTTTATCTTTCTAGACCTTAAGGCAGTGTGGCCTGCTTTGCCAGCGGCTCCCTTCCCCCCAGGATAATTGATTTCTCCTTCCTTTAAGCTACCAGTGGACCTCATCCATATTTCTTTTGTAGTAGAGAACAGGCTATATGCGACATGTAGTTCTTGTTTTAAATATTTATCCCCGGGGCTCCTGGGTGGCTCAATCGGTTAAGTGTCTGATTTCAGATCAGGTCATGATCTCACAGTTGGTGAGTTCAAGCTCCATGTCAGGCTCTGTGCTGATAGAGCGGATAGCCCTCTCTTTGCCCGACTCTCTCTCATAAATAAATAAAACATTTTAAAAATAAATAAATATTTATCTCTTATACTACATAGTGAGTCCCTTGAGGGTGAGGACTGTACCCTATTTATCTTCATTAATAAACTTCTAGTCTGGAATGTAAAGCATAGTGGATTTTCAGTTTTCTTTTTAGTAAGCAAAATCATTTTTCTAATGTTGAATTCTATCCTTATTCCCAGCACCAGAGCAGTTTTCCTGGAAGCTTTTTAGAGAGGTTTTACCTCCCCAAGTAGAAACTAAGCCAACTCTACACATCACTAGCCAGTCCACATCTCAGTATCAGCAAATTGGTAAAGATTCTCCCGAATTACCCACTTCTTATCCATTATTTAAACTACTCCCTCTGTATCTCAGATGCATTGCATTTCTACTCTTTCTAATGACAAGGAAATTTTAAAATCAACTTGCATAGTCTTGGTGTTTACCACCAGAATTGGATATAGAATTGGAAGGATATATTAGTCTGTCAGCCCAAGCTCAAAGTTATTCTAAGAGCAACTCCTTTCTGCTCACTAAAGTGTTTTTTGAGCCTGTTTTCTATGCAAATTATCCTGCATAAATAATATCCTTTAAAGCTATCCTTTTTATTCCTTTTGAATTTTGTAATATGTACATGATTTACCTGTATTTTGATGGCTACTTATAAAAGTGGTATAGAATATACATGTATGTAGTTTTTAAAATTAAGTCTGTTTAGAATCTTTTTTTTTTTTTTAAATTTTGAGATGACTGTAGATTCCCAGGAAGTTGCATAGATAGTAAAGAGAGGTCCCATGTACCTTTCATCCAGTGTCTCCCATTGGTTACATCTTAGATCACTGTGGTACAATATCCATAAATCGGGAAGCCTACATGGTATCTTGAGTCTGTATAGTTCTGTGTCATTTTATCTCATGTAGATTCATGTAATCACCACCATAATCAAGATACATAATTAATGGATTCCTTTCAATGCAACGGTTACTTCTACAGGTTTCTGGAAGAGAGAAAGAAAGCCACAATTTATATTTAGTTAAGTTATGGGCTTTTGCTGTGGCTCGCTCAGAAAGTAATGTGACTTTGGCCTTTCAACTCTGGTTCCTAGTTTGAGGAGGTGTGGAAAACTGGATGGTTCCCCAGACTGACTGAGGAAGTTTATCTTGTAGGTATCTAAGCAAGCCAAAGAGTTTCTGGAGTACGTGTACGAAGAGCCCCTGATCGACATCCAGCAGGAGAACCCGATGCTGTACCGCCACGCCGAGCCGCTGGCCACCGTGGTGCGGCTGCGGCAGCGGCTGAAATCGCTGCGAGCCTATTTGTTCAGCTGCCGGGCCGCCGTGGCCGAGGATCTGCGCCGCAGGTAGGTCACAGATGGCAGGCGGCTCCGGTTTGCTTTCCTCTCCCCGCCCTGGGAGGGTGGTTAGAGGACCTCCCTGGCCTTTCCAGTGGGCACCGTCTTCTGTGACTCTCGCTCCCGGCTCATCTTTGACGTTTTTCCTCCAAAGTCCTCTAAGTTGAGCCAAGAAAAATGAAAGTAATAGCTCAGCGTAACTGAAGGCATTCCAGCCATGGAACTAGTTGCCACAACAGTGAAGACTTCTCCTACCCGTAGACGAACTCGAGGGGACGATCACAGGAGTGTCTTCATTGATCACTTATGTAGCACTTTTCACTTTTCCTGGTTTTATTTGTGAAATGAGCATGTTTGAACTATTCCATAAAGACGTTTTTCAGTGGAAATAAGTGGTTATTCACATCTTACTTTCCATCCAGAAACAGGCTTGGTAGGTGATGCCGGGGGTAGAGCCTGGGATTAAGATGCATCGGCCCAGGATTCTGCCTTTTCATGTCACCGTTTGTGCAGGCTGGTTTTCCATAGGGCAGTTATCTCCGAGTTCACAGAGCACACAAGTCCATGCCAGGTTCAGATCCTGAGAATAAAACTGAAGTTAAAATGTGCCTGCTCTCATCAAATTCCTTCTTTTACAGTTAGATTTTATTAGCATTTCAAGTCTCACCCTTGGCACATACGAACTAGCTGACACTTGAAATAATTGTTGATGGTGTTCGTAGGTCCCTGAAAATACCTTTTAATGTTTTAATGGAAATGACCAAAAGCATACCTTAGTCATGGTTTCTGGAGGGGAGCCTACATGCAAAAGAACCTTTGGAAAGCATTAAAGTGATACGGTTTGTTATTTGAGATCTAGTTAGATCCAAGGAAATGGACATAACCCCCAGGCATCTGAAGAAGACGTCTTAAAAAGAACTAAATGTAGATAGTGAGGAGTACATAATATCATAATATCTAGACAAGCCCTCATAAAATAATAATGAAAAGGCAGCTGCCATAAAGCAAAACACTTCTCAGTGGTAGTCATTCTATTACCTAGTTTTTCAAAAAGCACTAGAAAAAGGTCAGGTTTTATTCTTGTAAAGTCTAGGCAGATCTTAATTTTAAAAGATCGGGGCTTTCCCTGAAAGGCAATAGGATTATAGGTCCAACTAAACTAGATACAAGATTTGTAATGTTCAAAGTATGTTTGTTCTATCATTTTCACTCTCGGCTTAGTTCAGAGCTAGTTTTTCTTTGCCTGTATTTTTAGACAACATTAAAATCTACACATGGGAATCATGTGAGGTACCTTTCTGGGACAGTGTTTTGCTTTGGATAAATATGCCACATCAGGGCATACGTTTAGAAATTAAACAGATTCTGTCTTCATTTGGATGACTAAGACTACCTTTGCTGTTCCCGCAGTCTGGTGGTTTACTGCCATGCCTACCCCTTATGGCCAGACCACCAGGAAAGGAATAGAAGTTCTAGAAAGAAGGCATTCCCAGGGCTGTGAGAATGAAGACAGCAGCCTTTCTTCCTTTCCCTTCATTTTTCTTTCCTCACTTGCCCATGACCCTTATGTAGTGCAGTTCCTGGCACCAGACAGGCATTCAGCAAGTACTGAACAGATAGATGGAAGGAGGGAGGGATAGACAGGTGTCTACTATGCTGTCACTCTAAACCACTGAACGACGGCTGGTAGCCCAGTTTTGAGGAAGGAGTCAATCTTCTGGTTTTATTTCTTCCTTAGGTGTCCATTAGCACAGTGTCTGACCCATCTGAAACCCTCAAAAATAGTTGTTGAATGAATGAGCAAACAAACTAAAAAACAAAGAAGTAAAGAAAAATTTAGTTGGTTTTGTTTTGGAGATCAGTCTCAAATCTTTCTTCTCCGTTTCACTTCCAATGTACCACCCTGGTTTGGAGTCTCAGGACAATTGCAGTGTCTCTCTCCCATTGAACCTTCGCATCAGGCAAATTATTAAATACAAGTATGGAGTTCAAGATCTGTACAACTCTCATCCAGTATATTGTTCTACTCTCACATATCCTGGGATGATTTAACTCTTTAATGCATTCTGTTGTGGGAATTGGTTTTTTCCAATGGTACTCCTTATAATAGTGCATATACATAGTAAGCACTCAATAAATACTATTATTCATACTGTTTTATTATCCTAGAGTGTTCTTGTCTCTGGCTTTAGACATCTTTGTTTAAAGTTTCCACTTAAAAGCCACCCCTGATGCTCTGTCTACTGGACTCGGCCCCTCCTGCTCCTATGTCAGGAGAGGAGTGAGCCAGAGGAAGTGGTTTGGAGCACTGACCCTGGGTATGGGGCCTGAAGTTCCTGGGTATGTGATGCACACTTACTCATGCAGTTGTTGCACAAAGATGAGTGGAGCAGGAGGTTCCCTAAGACCAAAGAATGAGATTCCTACGGAACTCTAGAGGAGGCACATTGATTTTTCTTTTTAAAAATTTGTTCTTTGTTTCTGTATGCTTATATGCTGTGAAGATAATGGAGGGGCACCTGGGTGGCTCAGTTGGCTAAGCCTCTGACTTCGGCGCAGGTCATGATCTTGCATTTGTGGGTTTGAGCCCTACATCAGGCTCTGTGCTGACAGCTCCAAGCCTGGAGCCTGCTTC